TCAACCTGCTCAAGATATAACTATGTATTTCAGTCATATTCTTTTTAGGTAACGAAACATTTTCCCCTCCCCTCCTTATTAAAGGACGCGTCACAATCTGTTTTGTATTCCTCCTCAATGCGAGGAAACAGGCAGGGAATTGATCCCTTTCTTGAATTAACCTGACAAGTTGGAATGAAACCAAAGGTTTATTTGAGTCGCGTCCTCTACTAATTGGTTCAACAGAGACAAGGTGTTTTTTTGTCGTATTATTACGTCTATCGCTAGCCGCGACAGTTTTCCTGCATATATTCATTGCTTGATCTGCATATCTCATATTCTTTCTTTGCTTTGCAGACCAAGATCTAAGAGTGTGGAACTCCCACACCAATATAAATATGAGGACAAACCAGGCGATCTTCGCATCGCAAAAAGTTTGATGCTTCTACCGCATTTAGCGTATTCCAGAGCAAAGCTCGGACGAAACGAGTCACATCTTATTGCTGGGTTTCCTGAGAAGTCAGTCCTGTTGCTTGCGCAAGACGAAGACGACCGATCTCAAATACAATTGTCAACTTCCAGCGTTGCGTCGCGTACTGGCTCCCAACAGCACATGCGCCGGCGCAGGGGAGACAGTGGCGTGCACATAAATGATGAAGTGGTCCTAACATGGAGCAGGGAAGAACAAAGCAGAATAGAACCAACAAATCCTTCTACCAGTGGACTTTTGAGTAATCAATCTTATCTGAGACGAGTTGCAACAAAAAGTAGTTTACAATCAAACTATATCCCCAGTTTAGATAAGCTGATAGAAGAACCAGTGCTTTCACCTAAAGTTTGTGGGCAGCGAGAAAGCAGTTCTAAGTTTGTGACTAATCACGCGCTGAATTCTGGATCAAATGAACGAAAAGAATTTAATGAAGTTGTAGTCAGCCATTGGGAGAGAGCAGAACAGCATCAATGTACTCAACAGGAGCAGCAGCAGCAGCCAGCTATCAGAAACTGGCGCTCTCCATCATCATCTTTTTCCTTGGTCAATGAAGTGACTGAAGAGGTTTTATTTAAGAGATCGTCAAGCAACGTGAGTCATCTTTGTAACTACTTGTTTTTAGTAAAATCCAACTAGCGGTCTATTATGAATGCCGCGCTCTGATTGGTTGAGCTACTATTAGGCTATATGTTATAGCCCACTTTAGTAGCGAAAAGCGCCGGCTTTTTGGCCGCTAAAAAGGATGTAAGTCTAGCTTTAACTAGCGAATGCTGTTTTGTCTCGATATTTTTGGACAACTAGTTGGATTGTACGAAAACAATTATTCCTCTCGCCCGCATGGCCTCTGAGTCAATAGCGGCCTTATGGGCTATTGACTCAGAGCCCCTTCGGGCTAGAGGAATAATTGTTAAATAGTAGAGGGGGTGGGGGTGGGGCTATTAAAAGTAAATTCAAGATACTCCATTGCGTGGGTTAAGGGTAACATATCCAGAGTGACAATATTTACCAATTTTACTGGAAAAAATAAAAATCAATATATTTATAGATAAAAAAAAGAAGAAAAAAGTTTTATGATTTCAGCACTTATTATTCTGCCCTGTTAGGAGTTTTATTCACTTTTTAGAAAGGCATGAAACAGTTGTTGGTAAAAGAGACTTTCAAACATTAGCACAAGTCGCAGGAAAGTACACAATGCTTGCAGTATCGGCTACCACACAGAAGAGTAAAATTGTTAGAAACATACTGATTCGACCTCGACATTCGAGACATATTACTCGTTCCTTTTGATCTGCAAATTGTATTACAAGTTTAACGCAGGCTTCACGGTGTCTATAATTTCAAACTTAATCGTTTTCACACGGGCGCTCGAATGGTTTGAGAGTGGTCGATAACTTCAACAAAACTCCCTTTTGGAACTGATCCCGTTATAAAGGCTCGCCCTTATTTGAAGTTATTGGTTATTATTTACTTATTCCCTCCTGTCTCAGATAAATGTATCGAGACCTGATCATGAAGAGGAGAAGGCCAAATACCAGAATAGGCGAGAAAGGCGAGTAACAATTGCAACAGAATCTCCCAGCAAGGAGCTGTCTCCACACTACGCTACTCAGTTGGAGAAACAAGCTTTCAAAAGAATCAAGGAGTGGAAAGAAGGATTTTCTATAAAGTTAGACCAAGTCTTACAACAGCGACAACTTATAACACAGCGTCCAGATAACAAAACAAAAGTCAAAAGAGAAGAGCACATCTCCATCCCTTCGCCACCTACCCCTCCTTGTCTGCACGATGCTTTTCTGTGTCCTCCCTCCTACCCAAGTTATACAACACCTCCTTTTAAGCAGGTAGAGACAACATTTCGAGTGGATGCGCACCAACAACTTATCGAAGAGTTAAGAGGAGTGTCTGAGACTTCAATAACAAGGATGAGCAATGGCTATGATAAGGGAAGCACCATTCTTAAGGAAATCAAGAAACATCGCAAAGCTAATAAAGGGCTTAATGAAAAGAAGAAAATAATGGAAGAGTTGAGTTCCTGGCATAAAAAAGAGACTGGAAGAATAGCAAAAGATCTGTTTACCTCCAGTGGGTCAGATGCTGGAAACGTTAAAAAAATACTGGCTGCTCTTAAAGAAACCGTTGACGATATTTTTATCGCTACTATACAGAGAGTGCAGGGAGACCTTGTTATTAGTTCCTCCTCAAACAAAAACAGTGCAGAGGATCTTGAACAGCAGGGTAATACCGACACCAAACATCAAGAAATGTTACTGAAGTGGCAGATAAAAACTGCTCAGGAGGAAAGAGACAGACTTTTCTTAGAAAATATTACATTGAAAACGGAAGTAGCTTATCTACAGAACCAATTAAAGGGAGCATTTAAAATGATAGCGGAGTTGACTTCACTTGAACATGATCGAATGGAGGTACTGTATGGTCACTGTGCGCGTGCAAACCTTGAAAAGTACATTAAAGCAGAGAACTTCCAAGAAACCATAGGCTGCCTTGAAGAATATACCGGGAACTTACTGTTAAACAGTGATGGTAATAATCATGATATTTTGTTATGATCTATGAGTCAGTCTTCACTCCTGTAGGAACTGGCTGGCTACAAACCTGATCCCATTCTCCCTCAGTCTTGTTGGCAGACGTGGGAACTACAACCACCGAGATCGAAATCTACCATTTTAGTCGAAAAATGTGACAAGCCAGTCCTCTGGCTCTATGCTATTTTTTTGATGTTTTTGTGCTGATATGTTTCTTTGAATGCACATTGAATACAAACGGTAATCAAAATTCAAAACTTGCATTGAAAGCCTCTTAGGTGAATAAGGTAAGTGTATAAGTAACGTCAAGATGTCTTTTTCCGTTGCAGACTTGTCAGAAAATCAGGATACTTCGGAACTTTTACGGACCAGACAACTTAGCGCTGAAATAGGAGCAATCTACAGCGCTAACTTGAATTTATCTGCAGAGACGAGCCACTTTGACTGTGTGGAATTATTCTCGACGTGGGACTGTCCTTACATTATTAGGCAGATTTAGTAAACAAAACCAAACGTCAAATAAGAATGCGAAAGCTCACGGAAAGTGTTGAACCTGACTTCATCTTGTCGCTCTGCCATTAGTCACTTCGCTTTCTTGATCTGCGTGCTCAGCCATCTTCACCGTCGTCACGTTGTGTCCGTTGTCTGTTGCTGAATCTGCCCGTTGGGAATAAACAACGGGCACTTTGCTCTTCTTTGCTCTTAGGCTCTACTGTCTCAAAAATTGTAATTAGTATTGTGACGTTGCGAAAACAAAGAAAAAATTTATTCTTGTTTTCGATGTTTTAAGTTGTTAAATTTTCGTTACTAATCATCTAAATGTTTCGTGATTTCCCCCACACAAATGGCCTGCTAGAACCGTTCAGACCAAGATGGTCACGTCGGGGTAGATATGGCTGCAAGTTCGACAGTATAAATGGTGATTGCAGGTAGTTAGAACCTGCAGCACGATCTTAGCGGTTGAGTATCTGGCGTATGGACTAGGATGTCTCGCAGATTCATATCGCGTCAGTAGATAATCCTGATTGATAATGCAGAGATAAGCATAAGAGAGCTTTAGATTCTAAGACGAGAACAACTACGAGTACGAGATTTTTAATGCTCGCGCACAAAGTAGCGTAATTTTTGCGGGAAAACGTGACAGTAGTCGTTATTCTACTGCGAATTTTAGTGACGTAGTGGCGGAAACAAGTTGGGAAGAATCTTGAAATTGTCAAGCAGATTCTTTGCTTCCGTTGTTTAAGGGATGATACGTAAGAACCAAAGGGATTCTGTTTTTCCTTTTGTCCATTGAGGGGTTCTTTGCTTGTAACAGCGTAGGTTTGTCTGAGTTGTTGTATCTGCCCATATTGGGTATAAAGAACGGGCAATAGATCCTTAGCTCTTCTGCTCTACGGTTTAAAAATTTTTAATGCTTTTAATGGGAACTGTAAAGTTCATCTTAATGGCGTAGCATTTGCAACAAATAAGCACGCTCATCTTTAAATCCTCTTTTTTTGCCATGCGCTCTTCAAAATATGAAGAATATTAAGTATTGACTAAGGGTAACCAAGCGGCTTAGAAAGTATGCTCTCTAATTCAGCGCCTGTATTTTGCAGCTTCTATACTTATCCCTCCTGTTGAATGCTTTTTTATTCTGACAGGGAACGGTTTTGGGTGCCTGACCATTCCCGCATTCCTATGAACTGGGGCTTAGGGTGACAAAATACGACAGTGATTTGTTTGAAGTTGTCCACTTAAAGGGTTTGGGCGCCTGGTTTGGGTTATTACCCTGGTGCAAGAGATTCTTGCCTAATTACGGTATCATAATATTCTGCAGATAAAAGTAAATCAAGGTATCAGGTGCATCATTAGTTTGATACTTCCACCACCTCCCACTCTAACACCCCCACCATCCTGGCCGAGCACCGGACCTGAAGTATGAGAACCCTGGTAACGAGTAATCCCACATCACCTCACTCGATGTTTATGATAAATAAATTACCAAGATGGCTTCCTCAGGATTTCGCGAGAAGAGGAAGTTGGCACAAAAAGCAGAAATGTTATTCAAGTTTGAAGAAAAAGAGCGTTATAATAACATAAAGCAGATTTTAAAGAAAGATCCTTCGCTAAGAAATAAGGAAGAGCTTCAGTTAATTTCTAACTCGCAAGAAATAGTCCAAGAAATTGAGAAGCGAGTACAGCGTCAAGAACAAGTAAAGCGTCGAGTTGAGGAGGTACAGCAACAATTTATCACATTTTTAAACATTTTTTTCACTACTGTGCTTAATTCGGTCTTTTGACTCCAACAAAGGTTTTAGATCCGTGTGATGTGTTGAATGAAAAGGCAACTGTATTAGCTGAGGCGATTCTGAACGCCAAATGCCTGGTGGTTTACACTGGAGCTGGTGTCAGCACGGTGAGTGTGTATACATACAATGTAAACTTCAGTGTTCATTTGTTGTTATTTGCAAATTATTAGTATTTTTCTAAATGAAACGTGCTATTTTCCCTTTTATTTCGTAGGCGGCTTCTATTCCCGACTATAGGTTTGTGATACATTATCCTGTACATGATAATTTATTTATTTTGTATACTGGTACTGAAATACTGGTAGTGAACTCTTTGATTCCTTTTAGCTTGATCGTAACAATGACATAACATATGTTTCCTTTGTAAATACTTGTAGAGGCCCTGAAGGCATTTGGACTCGTCTGTCTCGAGGAGAAAAACTAGGGTAAATGAAGCGGAATTTTCATTGTATTTTCTTGTTAAAAGTCATTTGCTGATGGGAGCAGTCTCCCTTTTCATTATACATGCAGGAAGAAATTAAGAATCTGCTGTGAAATTAATTGAGGGGATTTCAGTGAGGGAGAGTGGCCAAATGGTTTTTTGAGTTTCCCAGCGTCACCACAAGCTGGAATCGTGGAAGGTCCTTTGCTGCTTGAAGATGTGTGACCTATCTCATGCCAAAATAATGGGATACAACACTAAAATATACCAGAGACTGAAACAACATCATTGCTTGTAGTTTAGCAGCCTACGTGTAGCTGTACCCTCCCCCTGACAACGGAAAAATGGATTGAGGGCCCGGGGGTGGGGTACTCCCATACATTACCTATATGGGTATGTGCCACCCAACGGGGTCGTGATTTTGAAGCTCCTGATTTAGAACGGGGTACCCATTTCAGAGGTGTTTTCTAGAATGGGGTATAATATTTCGAACGCACGAAAGCTCCAGTGTTGTAAGCAGCCATTTGAAATTATTCAAGGACAGATTGCTTTTAAAAATACGGTTCAATGTGTTAACAAGCAAACTGTTGTACTCTTTGCACCCTAGAACGGAGTATAAAAAATTGGCCCATTTCTACAACGGGGTATCAGTTTAAGGGCGAATTCTAGAACGGGGTATCAATTTTAGGGGAAATTTTTTTTAGAACGGGGTGCCAATTTGGAGTCCCGGGCGGCACATACCCACCCAAAAAATACCCAAGTGCCCCCCCCGGGATTGAGGGAGCTCCCTCTCTTCCTTCCTCTCTCCGTTTTTCCTTTGTTGGGGGGAGCATGTGGCTAACCGTAGGTAAGCAGTTTAGTTTTCTCATGCCTATTTGGCTTTTTCCTAGCAACATGATAACATTCTAGAAATATTTCTGGGCCCACGTTTACAATTGCTGATTGGCATTAACCTGGGGTTAAATCATAATCCTTTTAATTCTTTTTCTTTTGCTCATAAGTATTTTCCCTGATAGATTTCTCCATTCTCTTCAGAGTATCCAATCGTAGATAAAAAGAATTAAGTTGAATTTGCTTTTTAAGCTTTCTTAGGTGAATTCAAATTTCTCTCTAATCCTGGATATTTAGTTTGACCTAGCTTTGAAGGACCCGGCCCTGGTGTTCATGGTTTTCTAAGTTTCACAGTAAACTCTAAATCATTTTATAAAATGGCCAATTGGTTTACTCCCTCCTGGTCATGGCTGGCTATTACTTTGCTAAATTATCTTTTTATGTTGTAATGGAAATATCAGTCATCACACCCCCTTGAAAGTAATATATGAACTTGCAACAAATATTAATGAATTTGCGCTAACCAGCAAATAGATGGCAAGACCTAGAGTTATTGAGAATTTGTGGTAAAAATAGCACAGAAAATTATCTGAGAAAATGCTTTTGAACACAAGATAAAGAAACCCAGGTTAATTTTAACCCCGGGTTAACCGCTAATCGGCCTTCGAACAACTCGGCCCTGGTTGAAGAGAGACATAGTGGAGTAAGGTTCCCTGTCTAAGGAATCAACGCAATGGGCAAGGCTTGAACCCCTGACCTCCAGATCTACAGTCCTTGGTGTTAACCATGCAGCCACACACACCTCCTGTACTTACATGTATACTTAAACGTTTTTGTTTTAAGCTCATACAACTTGGCAGATGCAAATCCAACGTTAACACATATGAGCATCACAAAACTCTATCAGGAAGGACTGGTGAGTATGTTATCATCATCTTGCATGATTCTTGTTAATAAAAACAAGTGGGAGGAAGGTAGGACTTGAGTCATATACACAAACAAATACATCAAGTTGTATTTGATTGTTACCATTCAGGGCTGTTATCAAGGGCCAGGGACTGGGTGTGAATGTGATCCCCATCTACTTTCATAGGAAAAAGAGGAAAAATGGAAATTATCTAAAGAAATCCCAGCTGTTATATCTCCCACCTGTTCAAAATGAAATAATGATTTAAAAGAGTGGAGACAATAAATAATTGGGGACTATTATTTTTTCATAACAGTGGAAGGTTTTAATATTACAGATTTATGAATATAGACAATAATTAATACGAGCATGTAGCTCTTGCCAAATAATTTCTGACAAAGATTTCATCAATTTTGAAAAAAAAAATGGATTGGATTGATAAGTATACTATGTCAAGTCATCATTTGCTTATTTCCAACTTGCACCATGGCAGGTCAAACATGTGGTCTCACAGAACTGTGATGGACTTCATGTGAGAAGTGGGCTTCCACCTCAGGCTCTCTCAGAGGTTCATGGAAATATGTTTGTTGAGGTTTGTGTTACTTTCATGGTGCTGAAAGATACTACCAAATTGTTTGACAATTTTGTACAAATAAGTTTTTTAAATTCATTCTTGTAGGTTTGCACTGAGTGTGAAGAAAATGACACAATATACTATCGTCTGTTTGATGTGACAGAAAATACCTGCCTGAGACGACACCTAACTAACCGATACTGCCACTGCTGTGGTTCTCAATTAAGAGATAGTATAGTACATTTTGGAGAAAAGGGTAAACTACGATGGCCATTAAACTGGGAAGGAGCAATAGAGAAAGCTAAAGTGGCAGACTGTATTCTTTGTTTAGGATCAAGTCTTAAGGTGATTATAATGTTATTCAAAAGCTGTCTTTCCTTGAGCTGAGGGTATTCATTTGATGGGTGACTTCAATTATGATCAATCGTTGTAAGCTTTTCTTGTGGAGAAGCTTTATCCTGCTTGCTTATTGTGACTGAAAGAGAACTGAAAATCTGGTGAAATTGAAAGAAAGGTGGTCCGAAAACCTGGACATCACACAACAAACTGGAGAAAATGTAATTACTTATAACAAAAGTATAATATACCACTACCCTTGAATGAGGCTATAGGCTTCTGCTATTAACAATGGCTAGAGCTTGAAAAATGGTAGTACACTCTTGCTCTTTGATGTCTTTGACTTGCTTGTAGCTTGCCATTTCATTTTTGAATTAGAAAGAGCAAGATTGGTTCTGACTTTTACCCAGTCAGATGACAAGCTGCCTTAAAATTATGACTATACATGGCACACAGAAAACCCTCTGTACGTAATATTACTAAATACCAATAAATAGCGGGTAATTTTACAGTGGAAGGCTGTACACTATTGTGAGACAAAAACATAAACTTTAAGCTACGTGTATCTTATTTTTGAGCCCTGGTTACTCAAAATCCCAAAGGAAACAGACAGTTCAACTTAGCTGATGAGTGACATTGGGTAACAAGGTTTTACTGAAACTTCTTATAGAATTTTTAAGCATTGCCGGTTATAAAGTAATTAAGACAGACTGAGCTTTTCTTATGATAGCAAATAATTCACTTTTTCCTAATTTCCTAAAGGTCTTGAAAAGGTACCATGCTCTATGGGGAATGAATAGAGTAAAGTCAAGAAGACCTAACTTGTACATTGTCAACCTTCAGGTAAGTGGGAGCCACCTACAGCTCCTGTACAGCAGCTATAATCAACTGAACCTCTCCACTACGGCCACCTTGAAGACAGAAGAAAGTGGCCATTGTGGAGAGGTAGCCGTTAGTGGGGGTTCAACTGTAGTTGTTTATGAATGATCTAAACTATAGCTTTTAACCTGTCAAGATCCCAAATGCGTCTATTGTCACAGTTAAACAGTGTTTATGGTTCAACAAATTGTCAGTTGTCCAGTTGTTCTCCCGTAGTTAGTTTTGCTTGATGCCATCAGTAAGTTGTTTGTACGGTGTGTCGGTAACTATTGACTACGATTCAGTGGTGTTTGTTCTAAGTGAGTAAACCAGCTTTCTAAAGTGATAGTAGTCTGTAGAATACGCAATATATGTGGCAGAGTCCCAGTCGATGTGATGTTTTGTCTGTAAATGTTGCTCAGCAATGTGATTGTTGACGCCACCATTTCTTGTCCCTTGTTTGTGTTCGGTCAGTCACGTGCCAAGGTTTCTGCCGGTTTCACCCATGTAAGTAGCCTGGCAGTTACAGCATTTGATCTTGTATTCTTCTCTCTGTCTGTCCTCTGGTATGTCTTTGTCCTTGACATTAGTAAGTAGTCATCATAAAGTGGTTATCGGTTTGTGTGCAACACGTATATTGTAAGGTTGTAGTATACGTGTGATAGTTTCAGAGGTGCCTCTGATGTACGGTAAAGTTGCTATCGTAACAGGGCCAGAGTTGACGTTGGTCTGAGTGTTAGAATCAGTGTTACTGTGAGTGTTCTGTATAACAAAGTCCATGTTGTAGTTGTTTTACAAAAATTTTGTAACGTTTTGTTTCTTCAATCAGTTCTTTCTGCCAGTTAGTTTGAAACTGCGTAGTTCATCACATGTAGATTAATATTTAGTGTGTTACATTTTAAACAGGATAATCAACTAAAGTAATGTAATACGTGCATATTGAAATGTAAGCCCACTTTTTCACTTTTTGTTTAAGTGGACACCAAAGGATGACTTGGCAACTTTGAAGATAAGTGGTAAGTTGCCAAAATGACAATACAGTGAAAGTTTATTTATTACCAGACATTTAGGCAACCAGCTCTAACTAGCCTGTTAAATATTTATAGTATGAAAGCAGTAGTACTTATTTAAACTATGCATCCATCCTTTTTTATAGCAGACAGAGATCCATGTACATGTATAGTGGTCAACCTTAAACGTGTGTGTTTCTATATGTACGTATTGCTGAAGAGGTCCACATCACCTTTCAAGCTGCCCTGTTTATAGAACCTTTTTGATATATGAAAAAAAAGTTTGACATTGATAATGAAATGGTGATTTCTTTGGCTTGTGCAATTTCATATTATTTGAAGACAGCCTTTAATAGCATCACTGTATCATTAAATCACAATTTTCACTCAAGTTGTCCCCAGTGCCCTTATGTCTAGAAATGTCTGATTAGTCTACCAGTCTGGACAGGAAATAAATCCTGTCGTTTTTTTGTCAAAAGGTCTATGTTCTTACTGTAATTCATTTTCCCAAGACTTGTAATACTAGCACAAAAAACTACTTTTTCTTGCTTTGTGTTGTAGCTGTTGCTTTCTGATTACTAACAGCTTATTTTCTTGTATACTCATTGTAGGTCGTTGTGATGACGTAATGAAAAGAGTAATGGATAAACTGAGCTTATTTGTTCCACAATACGAAAGGTCAGTCAACCTTATACTTTTTTGTCCTTGTTCAGTCCTACATCATTAAGCATTCTTGATCTGTAAATGGACACTTCACCCATGAGCTACTCTCAGGACGTCAATTGATCGGCAACAGTGATAAAGAAAGGCACCTTGAAGGTAGTTCAATAACAAGTACGAGATGAGACACCTTGTCACAAGCTTTTTCCACTTCTACTTCCAAAAATAAGACGCCACTAAGTTATATACAGTTGTGTGGATGTTTGCGTATGTTTTAGAGATAAAGGCAGGTGGGGGTCTGTAGGGTAACTCCTCTCTTCAATCTTCACTGCGGGCTCTAACTGATCTTTCTAGAATCAAAGCACACAAACGAGCTGCCAACGAGAATGCGAACTGACGAATCAAAACCTTAACAAAAACGGGCGCAAATATGGCCTTGTTCTAAAATTGGCATGTGGTGGTTGGTTTGCTGAGAAGCTGCTCAAACGTTGCCATTCATAGCTTTAAAAAAACCTTTATCCAAACATTATCATCGCGAAAAGCAGGAAAAGTGGTTCTGAGAACAAAACTCCGGCAATTTTGGTGAGCACAAGTAGATACTAAAACACATTTACTGGTAGTAATTTAATAAAACCAAATCGTTGGCGATTATTGAAGTAATTAATTATTAACTCCATAACAAACGGCTTAATTGCAGCTGTTGTTCATACACTAAGTCCATAAGTAATTGTGCAAACGAGAGTATTTTTCTCCTTATCTCTTGTAGGTGCAGGGATTCTCTTTTCACACTAGCTACACCTCTGAGGCCTCATGAACTAAACTCATTTAATACTAAAGGCCTGAACATGTTTGAATTGGATCAGTTTGAGACGCCTGTTTGCCTCACAACTGAATCTAAAACTAAAGAGGACAGTTACAATGGCCTGAATGCGGAAAATGACGGCAGTGCGGTGGAAACAGCGACTGCAGACAGTGTTGCAGCATCAGGACCTCAAATGCAGCCAGGATGGTTTGGCAAAGGTTATGCAAAGAACAAAAAATCACGAAAAAGACGGAGAGTAAGATGATCTGAGCTTCAATTAACAACAGAACAGGAGTAAAAACTCGAGTGAAGAAATTACAGCCATAATAAATAGAGTTTGTTGTGAGAGGAGATTAAAGAAGAAAGGTTGACTGATTGACACACGCAGCAACAAATGGTTTACAAACATTTGAAATTACGTAAAAATTATGAACGTTTAACCTTGGTTTTTTAATTAAAGGTTTTGTTTATTGTCGGTAACTAAAGTCTGTTGGTTCTAAACTAATTCGTTTAATTTTCATTATCATTCAATAAAAATATTTCCCCGATTCTGACTGGCTAAAAGCACACGCATAATTCACCATAACCAGCTACTGATGACCAAATCTAGAAGAATTTTGCGATTAATCAACCGATGACGTCAAAAGTGCAGCTTCCTTGCAGGTTAATGCACCCGTTAACCGTGAAGGCTTGGGGATGTGGTTGCGTTGTTTTGGTTGTGAAAATAACAATGGTGGACATTTCACTCATTCCAAGAGTAAGAACTAGACGAAATTATAGCTAAAAACATGGCAAGAACAGCAAGAAGACAACTCGAAGTGCGACATCTGCTATTTGGAGAATATTTGCGGAGCTGAACAACCCTAAACGTGCACTATCGAAGATGAACTTAATCGATGGAGGTAAGCAAGTTTTAGCTAAGTTTTTAAACTAGGAATTATTTTGAATGAATATTAAAACAATTATTGAATTCGGCTTTCGAATTATATGAGGAATTATAATGGAAATCTCGGGGGGTGTTATCGGCCTCGGAACTACGGCCTCGACGGATAACACTCTCCTCGATCTCCATAATTCTTCATATGATACTCAGCCTCATTCATTAATTGTTAAGTATTCCTTTTCAGCTTGTTATCGCAGACGTGGTCGAATTCTTGAAGCTTTCGTAAGATAAGTTGTATCCCAGCTATTGTTCTTCAACAATAACCTTTTGCTATTACACAGTAGTTGAGATATATTTTACCAAGTTACGCAAAGGAGATCAGACCTTAAGAAAGTTTTTTCCTTGCACAGGAGTGCTTGATCAGCTTTGACACTTACAAATGGCGTCTTGCTGCAAATATCAGCTCAACAACGAATCCAACCACCTTTGTCTTGCTGAAACAAGTTTGTTACCAGACAAGAGACAAAATAATTTTTTTTTTATTTTTATCTATTTATTTATTGTATTTTATTTTATTAGCCACACAATAGTTACAAAAAATAAAGGAAAAGAGCGAAAAAAAGAAGTGACGAGGAGACCTAACAGAAGCTATAGGAGCTTATGAGAGGTTAGGCCTCTTCGAACTACGGGTTAGAGCTGTTTAACATCAATTGAAGAAAAGATTTATGAACTGTTTTCATATTTACTCAATAACTTAATCTTCAGTTTTTTCTTAAAAGAGGAAAGGGATTGAGAGTTGATGACCTCGTTGTCAAGTGAATTAAAAAACTTAGGCCCTTGAAAAACGGGCGAGAACTTCTTAGTGTTTGTACGACAATACGGTAGACGGTAGGCCTGGGAATTTCTTGTGTTGTAAGAGTGGAATTGATTGCCTTGGGAGAAATTGTGATTAAACCTTGGAGGTAAGAATGAATTTTTGCAAGAATACATAAATTGGCCCAGTTGAAGCAAATGGATATCATTAAATTTTAGCATACCGAGGTCCTTAAAAGTGGGGTCAAAATGAGCATTGGAATGTAATTTATTAATAATTCTAATAATGCGCTTTTGCAGGATAACAAGGCGGCGGAGAAATCAATTGGAGGACTTGGGACAAACATATTTTGATGGAGAATGGCAGGGAGGCTGCTAATTACTTTCGACGTAAGAAGCTTCTAGAATTATCAAGGAACAAAACCCCTCTCTCCTGGTATTGAGTGTCGCATAAACCAGTCACATTGTTTATTGAAACATATATTTATATCTCAAAATACAAAGATCTTGAATTCTGATAAGGTACACTTTTTTACTCTACACTTTGTATCATCAATCAGCCTAACCTTAAAAAAATGATAATTATATGATAATTCCGTTCGTATTTTTAAACCTATTTGATGCAAGTTACTTGTTCTGTTTCACGACGCGTTCAATACCACGTTGAAATATGTTTTAGAAATGGTCACAAAAATATTTCAGCATGGTGACCAAGCCTTTAAAACGGAATTTATTTAATCTAAAAAAGGTCCTAGTGGGTTTGCTCCAGAAAGCTGGTAGGGCACTTTTACTGCTAAATAAGAGGTGACTCCCTGATGATAAAAATCAACAACAAAAAAGAATCAATAACTTTTGAAATTAACTCTTAAATATAACACAGACTTGTCTATGACATCTCCAAGAACCAGTCATTCGTCACCGTGTCATCTTTGGAAAAAAAAGTAATTTTCATGGTTTATTAACCGAACTGCACTCGTCTAACAGAGTAAAAATTTTTCAGCGGTCTTTGAACTTTTTTGCGCTTTTCTTCAAAGTCTTAGTTCAGTTCCTGACCCCAGCCACAGGGGTTAGCAGCTTCGAGCGTCTGTAATCTGTAGTTTACCTAATGTTATCCACTGTTCCTGGGGTAGCTTTGTTTGTTCCACAAACAGGGCTTGGATTTGAACTGAAAAAAAAATTTGCTGGGTTAATTCTTTAAAAAGCTTTGGAGATAAACTTGAACGTGCACTACAAGGCCACAAATTAATAAGAGTAGAGTGAGCGTCCGCTCTCTTCAGCTCCTACTCTGAGTTTGTCGAAATAGAATGATCAAAATGATTGATTATCCCGCCGGAAAACATTTGAAAGGACGCGTCGCCTTTTAAGTGGCGTCAACGTCTCTGTTTTGCATTACCTTCACTGTATCGCAAAAAGCGGTATCATCATTAAAAACGCCGTAACTATTGTCAAGGTGGTACCTAAAGTAACGCAGTAGTGAGTTTCGTTTTAAAATATCTTTCATCATATTCTTATTGGGGGCGTTTTGAACTTTTTGATCGGCAGTGTGAAGTGAGCCAGCCGTGAGTCAAACGCTTGTTTACCTGTTTAAGCCTGGGTTCTGATAGCTTGTAGGAAGATCAGTTTCCTCCGTTGTTACTTCATTTGAAGTTTGGTCTTTTGTGCGACTGTATGGCAGAAGTAACACAAACAAGAAGGAGAAAGGGCAGTATACAGATCATAGATAAACTGATGGAATATCAGTAACACCCCTAAATACCTTTGGGGTGAAAAGAGGAGGGGAGCAAGTGAGTGGGTGTGGTGGGCTAAAAATGTCAGTTATAGAGGGATTTTACTTGAACCGTAAAACAGATAGTAACAAATCTGAGTGCAAAATAGAAAGACAATGGGATTAGTGCGGCATGATAGTGAGGGTCAATAGTGTGTAGTATTCTTAGCTATTCTTCTACCTGTTTCACGGGTTAAGTAAAATCTTTCTATAAGATTAAGTGGGGCACGTAACAAATTACATGAAATTAATTGCATATAGATTGCTGGTACAAATACCCTTGTGGTTGTTGGTAACACATGGAAAATTTATTCCGTTCTTCATTTGGTTTACCTAGGATAAATAGAGGTGAAAACCTCAAAGCTAAAGTCGGTAACGTTTAATACCTATAATTTTAACCTAGAAAAAAAAAGATACCAAAATGGCACAGATGGCCACTTCTTGCGCATAATTTATTTTTAAACAGCTCCTATCTTACTTCCCCGTTGCACTACGCGATGAAAACAATAAATGATCGCAGTCTAACGATTATGGATTTGCATACCTCCATGGCTTTAATTTGACTTGAATGTGTGGTGCTTGAGGGCTGAAGGAAAAGCATGCCAGTAGATCAAATACTCGGTTGCTTTAAGACCCTTGTTGAGGAAATACAATTTAGGGGACAACCTGTAAAACTAATTTTAAACAAATTCAAAATTCGTGATTGTGGCGAGAAGAAGACTAAGGTTACGTTCAAACGGCACGGGACGAAAAATTTGACCGGACACTTATTTTCGGAACGGAACAGTTATTTTCGCTTTGTTCACACGGAACTGACGAACCGGATTGAATTTCAACTTTTTTTTTAGTGCATTCTCGTTTCCAGAGCGTCCCCCTCTCGATCCCCGACGCTGACCGAAAGAATCGAAGCTCTGGGAACGAGAACGGTTTTAGTGGTGTTAGTCCGCGTTGCTTTGTCCAGCGGAACGGGCAGGTAACGCGGACTCGGGGAACGAGATTGTGGTGTTACCATCTGCCCATTCACAGAGCGTTACTTCAGCAACTCCAAAATGGCACATCCCAGCTGAAGTACCACTCATCCGTGCAACTACTCCTTCGTAGTGCAAAAATTTAGACGGTCATGCTGTTAACATTGTGCCGGTCAAAACTTTTAAATTCAAACTTTTGAACGGCTTGGCGTCTAAGTTTACGCACGGTTAACCGGTACCGTGAAAGGAAGACCTAAACGCACGAACTTTTAACCGGACGAAAATTCAGTGCAGTGTGAACGTACCCTAAGACCAGTTGGTATTTAGGATCATGGGAATTTTGTTTTATTCAGGAAGTACGCATGTGTAAAAACACAGGTCAGGTTCAGAAGAAAAAAATGATGGAAAAAAAGGGGAAGGGGACAAACAAAGGGTGTAGATATTTAAAACTCACTAGCGTTTGCAATAAAACATTATGCTCTCTTGGTTGTACATGGTAAAGAAAAAACAAAAACTCAAAATTAGCTTCGTCTCTGTAATCGGTTTCAAATAATGCATGACGGATTAGTGAGCTTAATTCAGTGATACATGGTTGAGTTCATTAATTTTTTATCCACACCGAGATTTTCGCAGCTCTGTTATCGTTATAACCGACCTGTAAACATAGCGGACAAATATTTAATAGCGGGAAAAAGACGTACGGTGCAGTTTCCAATTGAAAAACTTGCAACATTTCTTGCCGTGATAAATTTTGATCGACATCCGCATCATTAAATGTTTAAATTCTTCGTTTTCTTTTCCTCTACCCTCAAAAACGTGGCGAAACTGTTGCCAGTTGAAATGTTATAAGTCAGTATTCTTCTAAAGAAATAGATTGGCTTACCTTTTTTCTCTTCCACTACAGCATATCCACATCAGTGCAATAATCATAAATGCAACTAAAACACCACCGAATGTTACTAAAAATATTCCAAAGGATGTTAAATGTGTTATAGTTTGTGGCACATTTTTAGGTTGAGTACTGATACTAACAATTGAAGGCAGTATTGAAGTGTCTGTAGATACTGTTAAAGGTGTGTATGACGAACTTTTGGCTACAGCAATACTTGTTCCATTCGGCAAAATGGCGGAGCTCATGTTACTGGTTAGAGTAGAAGAACTGTTCGAGGAAGACCATGGAAAACTTGAAGAAAAGCTGTTATTTCCAATGGAAAATGTTAATGAAGAGCTTGTTGTGAGTTGCCCTACGGTAAAGTTGAAAACAGGTTAGACTATGGGTCGTGAAAACACGAATATTTAAATGGAATTGGCTCCTGCAACAGTGGTTTTTTTTTGTCTACAAAACAAATATTGACATACAGTGCATCCCTTGGGTACCAATAGCAACTAGTCAGGTTATATCAGGGGGTAAACTACACTCCACGTGCATCAACGTTTTGGTACATTTTCTTCAAAGAGTTTTTTGTTCTCTACTTTTTAATTCTCTTTGGGACTTGCTGTCCTTAAAGGGGCTTGTCATTTATATCAGTCAGTGTCTGCTCAGTATTTAATTTTTGCTTGGAATTTAGCTGCTGTCCGTATTATCGGGGCGTCCGTTATAGCGAGGTGTCCGCAAGGCGAGAATTGACTGTATTCTCAGTCATCTTTTCTCCTACTTGCAACTCTAAAACAGAAAAATCTAATGAATCTAATGAATCTAATGAAAGCAAAACAAATCGTGATCGTTTCTTGGACATTTGACAACATTGGATTTTAAATTGAGAACGCCTTTTGGCCCAATTTGTTCCGAAGTTGCAACACATTTCCATCCTGACCATCGAGAGCCAAAGGGACTCCATACACCTATATAGTTGAGGCAGAAGAGAGTAGTAGCAGAGCAATTCTAAATAAAACGGAATCGCCATTTTCAGGGTTTTCCTTGATTCCAATTTTTTTAGGATTTGAAAGTAACACCAAAAAAGTGACATAGCGGTATAAATTGAATTTAGGAGGAATTTGTCCTTCACTAAATGTAATGAGCGAGTCGGAATCAGTAAGCTTTAATTATCTCTGTTATATTTTCTCGTCGATGTTTTCTCTACCGTTGCTGCTGACTTTGCAAAAGCTCGCTTTAATAGATACAGTGTTGTGAATATTTGCGTTTTTCACCGCATTAGTGAGAAGCAAAGCCTAGTGCAGAGACGAAAAGCAAACGAATACCCTATTTTAGATCGGACGGAATCCAATATAACACAGCGTAATCCCTCGTCCCGCCGGCCAAAAAAGTAACAAAAATAAAACATTGCACGCGACGCGTACGACTCCGTACATGCTCAAAACCCTGCCCGAAAGAAATGTCTCCACGGCTCGCAGAGTAATTTCATGCGGGCAATCGTTTATATTGTAAGTAGTAAACAATAAATTTCATGGTAATAAAAGCAAACAAAGCAAAGTGAAAGGAACATTAATGTAATAAGAAAAGTTACTGGAGTCTTACAACACTTATCGATATTGGCAATTCAGTAAGATAAATTAAGTTAAATGTAATAAACATGCCATGGCCTAGTCAGTGATAGACAAGACTTTCGCATGGGACTTAGCTGGACTGACAATCTCATGAATTTTCTGTTTAAACTTCCTGTCAGAAGCCTCATATCTGAGTTGCTAAATGGTTGGGTAAGAGACAAAAATGTGGTTTTCAAACCAATACGAAAATTTATGTAAAAGTCATGTTTTAACTTTTTAAAATATGTTTTCTTTCCGGTGAAGCCTATTCTTTCAAACGGTTAGATTTAGACAAAAAGGATGACATACAAACGTTTATACTGGAATGATATTTGGACATAAATATTCCTAAATCTTGTACTCAACCGCGCCTGACTATTGAAACAAAATGTCAGTAGAGAGATCCGACTAAAAACTTGTCACACAAAAGTTTTATGACTCAAGAACGCATCGTACAACTGAAAAGTTAAATCCTCCTGAATGAGAATGCATTAGAAACGTAATATTAAAAATAACCGTTTTTACCGTCACATCTAGAGAATATTCCGTTCGACAACATCAGCAAAAGCAGTAGAAGAGCCATGGCCTTTTTCTCGTTGAACTGTTCAGTTTGAACAGAGATTCTTCTTCAGTATAATCTTGTCGCAATTAAAGTTCGACTAAGGTTGATGTATGAAGCTTCCTTCGTATCAATTAGATCATGTTGGAGAGTACCCTCACAAGATGCGCTTGTCAGTTTTTTTAGAGAAAGGTAAACAGAACAAAAATTAAAGAATCCTTATGCCAACAACATGACATCTTGAAATGTCATTAAACATGTGTATCCAGTACAAGTAATATCATTAACATTAAAATACATGTGAGTAGAGGGCTTTTCGATCTCTCCTCTGAATTGGCGCCGTTCATTTGTAACGACTATTTATGTAGTTTTGTCGGCCTTAATAAGGACTCGAAACATCATTATTTCAAAATAATTCCAGATTTATTATATTCCAAGCATTTTTTCAGGCCACTTCCTATAGCCCCAGTACTATTAAACTCCCCCAAAAACTTATCTTGGCAGCAACATCTTTAAGTTCAATGTGTCAGAACTGTGCCACGTTTTCTTAAGAAAGAATAACCTGCCATTCAAAGTGACCCAAAAAAAATGCCAAACACTCAAGTCATATCTAAACTCGGGATTTATCAGAAGAAAATATCTCTAAAGGATTAAGCCACAAAGTGGCTAGTCATCAAATTTCGTTAAACCACTAGACTGAAACTGAGGATTTTTCATATCACACCTTCTCAACCAACTTATCAAGATTCGCGCATATTTGTGATACGTGGATCAACATTAGGGAGGACGTAGCGTGACAAGTGGTTCAACAAATCATCGACAAATATTATAGCCTGTTAGGTTTTAAAAACTATATACTGAATTTTTTTTAGGCAAAATGAAATGAATAACGGTCATGCAAAATGGTCTCTTGCCTTAAAAGGAAGCAAAGGGTTTGAAGACCGCAGCGGCACCGCCCCCCCCCCCCCCCCCCCCCCCCCCCCCCCCCCCCCCCCCCCCCCCCCCCCCCCCCCCCCCCCCCCCCCCCCCCCCCCCCTGACAAGGGGTTCAAAAAATCAGCGACAAATATTATAGCCTGTTAGGTTTTAAAAACTATATACTGAATTTTTTTTAGGCAAAATGAAATGAAAAACGGTCATGCAAAATGGTCCCTTGCCTTAAAAGGAAGCAAAGGGTTTGAAGACCGCAGCGGCCCCGCCCCCCCCCCCCCTCCCCCACCTCCCCTTTCCTACTCCCAGCAGCTCCCGCCTTACAGAGTTTTTTTTTTAAATTATTTTGCTCCGTTCTCTTCTTTGCTCAGTCCCTGCTAGCCGATCCCCTGGAACAGTATAGAAAAATTCTTACCATGATTGCCTCTGTTCGTTTTACCATCGCGTTCTGACACGTTTTTGACATAGTATTCACAATTCCACAGATTTCTATCAGGACTGTTTCGTTCTTCTGCTAAATACGCGTCCCTTTTTCCATCTTCCCAGCAGGCTATATAAACAGGCCCCGCTTTAACTATTTCATACCAATCTCCTTCTCCTAGCGTACTGAACAGTTTGACAGTCCTTACTTATGAACTGCTTGCGCCAATGACAAAGCTAATCCTACAAAGAATTAATTTAGGTACATCGAGTAATCAGGAAATACATTATAACTAGTCTTTCATTAAACCAAAGTGTATTACTTCTTTTTTCAGACACACATCAATTTGTGACTCGCTTTGAGATATTCAAAAAGACTATTTTGCGAAGAAATCGGTTACGTTTTACACAGAAATCCAGGCTAAATTGCTTACCTTATTTGTTGTTCGATGATACTTCTCGAAACGGGTAGTTCTGGGTCAACAAAAAGGCTGAAAGAATTACAAGAAATGCATTTATTTTTTGGTGTAAATTATAAAAGAAGGGTTTTGAGATACCATTCATGTTTTTTGTTTGTTTGTTTCTAAAAGGAATTCAGCTTATACAAATAAATTTTTTCACGCGGTAATTCTAAATTGTGGCGCTTGTATCCTAGCCTATTGAAAACTGAACTTAATCCTCATAATCACATTGACAAAGCAAGCTAAAGTGATGCAAGAGCGCAAATCTTTACTTTTTCTCTATCGATGCTGAAAACACTAAAAAGTGCACCGCTCAAAAAAGCACCCGGATTACCAGAAAGCTGCATAGGGCATATCTACCTCGCATCTTAAAATATGTGGAATGATTATTTCATTGTAATCTTTGGAAGATCGAAGCACAGTGATGCAAACAAGTTTGTCATGTGAACCTATGGTTGAGTAGCGCCTGTTTCAAGCAAGTTACAGCATTAAACGATGAAGGTATAAGGTATTTCAAAAGGTGTTAATACCTCTTGGATCAGATAGGTGACCCCTAAATCATGTTGGGGGAAATAACACACGTTGATATACACTCTGAAGATGGAAATACTGTAACTATTACAAAACGGGGAAACTGAGTAGAGCTACGTCTCTCTGCGGACTGAATATATTCCTTATCCAGCTGGTATTGACAAAAGCATTCATACAGTCATATAAACTGGCGCAATAAAAGATAGGGCACGCATAATATGTGTTGCTGGACAACGACAAGCCAAATCACGAGTTTTAAAAGTAAAGTGTTCATTTCAATGCATAAAAACAATAAAATGTAGAAAATTTCAACAGCGTCATCGAATGTCAGTTTTCTGACAAACATTTAGCTTCCATTCTGGTTGAATTAGCAACCTTTTCAGTCTTTTAATTGAAAGGCTTCTTTCCATTACAACCAATCAGATTTAATTAAAGTTTCCCAGAGCCGTGTACACAATTAAACTATTGATTCACCTGTCATTTAGGTTACCTCCGCTGTTTTTGATCAGATGAAGGATATGTTTACACGCTGCACTATAAAGGCTTTATATTCCTATTCATTTTGAGGTACATTTTCTTAAACAGCTGTGGCAGATTAATTTTATGAGCCGACAGCACATTTGGTTTACCTCGAGCAATCTTTTTTTCTCGCAGGTCACCGCAAGTTCCAATATTCCTTTTCGCGACTGATCTGGTCAGATTCTTGTCGTAGGTAAACACAAAGAAACAGATGTAACACGTAAGGTTTCTTCTCTTTTCTTCTCAGTTTGCTATCATTAGCCTTGATCATTACTTACAATCCGCCGACCTCTTTTGCTTCATTTAAAACTGCATAAAAATATGAGATTTAGTTCGATCCCATAAAAAAGCGGAGTTAATAAGTATTTACATGTGGTTGAGATGCCGACAGAAGAGGGATGATAGTTTATTGATATGAACAGAGAAAAAGGCAAAGTAGATTGTTTAGAGCTCGAGATTTCTTCCTTCGGTATCCAATATTTTTTATGCGAATTATTTTTTGTGATGAATCGTATTAAACTGCTAGGAAACTGAGACATGCCGCGCAAACTTGTCATGATACTGCGGAAAAGTAACAAAAATATCCGGGTACAATGAGGAACTAGGAACTGCTTCCGTTTTAGATGAACTTACTAATAATTACATTTTCCATTGTTTTCGTTTTGCTTTTCCCAGAATTGCAGTAAGACGGAACTACTTATTCAATGACTTTACAGGACCTATCTAAGGTCTTTAAGGATTGATGGAAACATTAAGAAAGACAAGAGAATTGTAATCCACGTCAATTTGGTTAATATATATTATATTCATCTATCTCCGGCGTAAGGACGGTAAGACTTAAGAAGTTCAAATGAGTGTATTTTTCCATGTGGAAATAAATTAAGGCAGACCGTCAGACAGATTGGCTCCATGAAATGTATAAGACTTCTGATAAGAAGGAACTATGTATTGACTGTATACAACCTTCTGCAGCTTTTCAATAATCTTTAATGATGCTGCTTCAATTTGGATTCTGTTGCAACTAGAAACAAAAATCTTGAATCAAGTTGCACATGTTTCAGTATTACTGTGTGATTTTATTAAAAGATTACATATTAAACTTTTTCTTTATTCTTTAGAGAAAGAACAAAAGTTCGCTGTTATTTTATTAATTTAAAGATAATCAAGCAGGTAGGGAAAAAACATGGGAAGTGATGGTAGTGAATATAGAAAATAGGATTACTGGCCTGAGCAAACATGACCAGCGGCTACAATGCGTCACCAGTAGTTGCGATTTGATTTTACCCAATTGATGTTTAAGTTCCGAAACTTGTTCGGCGGATTTGCATGACAAATTCATTGACTACTAAAGCAAGAATTAAGAAAAAAATACAGCTACTCATGACTTGCAGTACAGTGCACGTGGTAACAGGTTGCGACTAATTTAACCATGAGACATGTGATAATTGCAAGATAGAATCACTGATGAGGCCTGTGACAAATGCAGTGTCTGGATAATTTAACGGATCGTCAATAGCTTTGGTTACATCTACTAAAAAGCGTTTTTGAATTTAAGGATGTTTAAGGATAATAAGGCCTTTCAAAGGGCTAGTTGATGAGTGCCGGCATTACAGGTGGCATTCCTGTTTTTTTAAGGTAATATCTTGACCTTGGGCCAAACATACAAGGATATGGGGCCGCAACACTTCTGCTTTATTAGTTCTTGTTAGTTAGTGAACACTGTTGTCTTAAGTGACAAATTAAATTTGCACATTTGACGGGTAAAACAAACAAAATTGATCTTTGAAAGCATTTTGGAATTTCTCTTTTCTTCTAGACAAAGTCAAACTTAATCAACAGAAATTAGCACACGTGATGTAGAAGCTTCCACTTTTTCGCTTTCTTAAGTCACGACAAAAATCATTCAATTACCCTCAATTTGCTCGGTCAGCTCGTAACTCACAGCCTAAATCAGTTTGTTAGCCCTGAGTAATTGGATTACAATATTCTTCAAATATTGTTTTGTTACTTTTTTCAGATAAATTATGTTTTTAATGTTTGATAGTGACAGACAGCTAATAGACAAGAATCCTGCTAAAATCTAAATTTCCGTCATCACAGTCTTAAGGCTTGGTGTCAATAAAAAAGTGTTTAAAGATAGAAGTCTATGTAGCTGAGCAAGTTA